GCTGGGCCATTTCTTACCTTTCTGATGGATCGAACGACAAGATCCAGGCCGTCATTGAGGCCAACATCCCACGCCGTCTTGTTGAGCTGCTGATGCACGCCTCCACCTCCGTCCAGACTCCAGCCCTCCGCTCTGTTGGCAACATTGTCACTGGTGATGATGTCCAGACCCAGGTTATCATCAACTGCGGTGCCCTCCCAGCTCTCCTTTCCCTCCTCAGCTCCACCAAGGATGGAATCCGTAAGGAGGCATGCTGGACCATCTCCAACATCACTGCTGGAAACTCCACTCAGATTCAGGCCGTCATCGATGCTAACCTCATGGGCCCACTCATTCAACTGCTGTCCAACGGCGACTTCAAGACTCGCAAGGAGGCCTGCTGGGCTATCTCCAACGCCACTTCTGGCGGTCTCCAGAAGCCAGATCAGATCCGCTACCTGGTGCAGATGGGCGCTATCCGTCCTCTCTGCGATCTCCTTTCTTGCCCAGACAACAAGATTATCCAGGTCGCTCTCGACGGCCTTGAGAACATCCTGAAGGTCGGCGATATGGACAAGGATGCCGCAGAGGGTACCGCCGAGCCAGCCGTCAACCGCTATGCTCTCTTCATTGAGGAGTGCGGTGGCATGGAGAAGATCCACGACTGCCAGAACAACTCTAACGAGGAGATCTACATGAAGGCCTACAACATCATCGAGAAGTACTTCTCTGACGAGGAGGGTGAGGGTGACATGAACGAGCTCGCTCCTCAGGCTGGTCAGGATGGCCAGTTCGGCTTTGGCGCCCAGCAGCAGCAACAGAACTTCAACTTCGCGAACGGCGGTGACAGCATGGACATGTAAGCTGCCATTGGGCCAGACTTCGCAGGCGTATACGAACGCCATCAGTCCCTGCTTGCTCTCAGTTACTGCTAGCTACTAGGAGGAGACGCTCGCCACGTCCGAGCGCAAGGGCAGCTCCAAGGACACCGCCGCTTCAGCCTCATGGCAAAAGTCAAGTCGCCCAAGCGCGGACGTAGCAGCGGTTGCTCAGCCATACCCCCCATCTCGTATCATCGTTAAAATCGAGAAACGCAACGTCACCTGCACTACAACCCCATCCCCGAGCGCAACCATCAAGCCGCCATTCCCACCACATCAGCACCACCATATTCCCCCTTCTGTTTCAACACAGGTTATTCATTGAAAGCCGTTATGAGCAGGCAAACAAGATACACCATCATGTAACTTTTTCCCAACCCCCTTAACCCCCTTATTATCTTTCGTCATTCTGCATCGAAACCCGCGGCGTCGGCTTTCATTGGAGGTCCCCAGGGGGTTTTAGGGTCCTTTTTTCCAACCCGGTTTCTCTGGCGCGAATTTTTAGTGTTAATAGAGTGAAATGGGATCGGATCGAATCGATTCTCCTGTATTCAAATGACGACTATGCTCACTTTTGCGCCCCTGTCTATCGATTGTGACTGGTAGTCATGCGCATCACAGAATATCAACAAATGAATCAGGAAAAACTTCAAGATGTGATTTTTGAACCATGTTTTTGCATTAACAGTAACCCGAACATCTATGGAAGGCCCCCCACTGAGGGCTTTCCTGGGGGGGGGAAGAAACTACAAGCAGGGATATTGCATCAAAGATGATTCCCCTCCCAATTTCCAACTCTGGCTCAAAGTGAGAAAAACGCCCCGTCCAATCCCTGTCTATCTGTACAAACTAGGTTACATTGAGCCGACGATCGTTGTACTGGCGACAGTCGACCCCAAGGGCAGGGAAATATTTGGAAGGCAAGGCTGAAAGGATTCGCGTGTGGCGAGCTTTTGTTTACTCGCGGGACACGTCACGGCCGAACATCTTGGCCTTGATCCAATCGACGAGAACCAGGACACGGTTGCGAGCTATTGGGATTCGTTAGTGACACGTTCGCAGGAGTTCAATTCTCAAGGGGTGCAAACTTACTGCTGAAGCACATGCTGAGGTAAGCACTCCTCCAGAAGAAGTAGGTCAGAGTACCACCAGTGGCGAGGTTACCAGTCAACCAGGAGATATCAGCGACAGCCTTCTCGGAACCGATGTAGGCCAGGGAACCCTGGTGAGAGTACTCGAAGGGACCCATCTGCTTGACACGACGGAGGCGCTTCTGGAGCTCCTTGATCTCGCCGAAGGCGGCGTCGCGCACCTCCTTGCTAGGAGCCTTCTCCTGCCTCTCGCTCAAGGACTGGAGCTCCTGCTCGATCTCCTCGGTCTTGGCCATCTGGTTGAAGAGGCGGGCGAGGAAAGCACCTTCCTGGGCGGCGACCTGGGCGGTTGGCGCGTAATTGGCGATGGCGCAGTCACCGACGGCCCAGACGTTGTCAGTGCCCTTAACGACGAGGTACTCGTTGACGGCGAGACCGCGGCGGGAGTCCTTCTGGGCGGGGATCTGGGTCATGAGGTCCTTGACAACGGGGCGGAGAGCGTTACCGGTGGCCCACACGAGGAGACCGTATGGGATCTGCTCGAGGACCTTCTTGCCGTCTGGGCCGGTGTATTCAGCCTCGATGTACTTGTCGGTGACGTTCTTGACCATGGTCTTGGTGCGGATCTCGATAGTCTCCTCCTTGAAGGTTTGCTCGGTGTAGTCAATCAGCTGCTTGGAGAACATGGGAAGGACCTTGATAGTATGTTAGCTGCTTGCATTTGTGTCCATACGGGTTCTGATGGAACCTACGGATGGAAGGGCCTCGACGAGAGTGACGTGAAAGTTCTCAGCAATCTCTGGGATCCACTTCTTGAGATCGTTCTCGAAATAGTCCTGGAGCTCACCAGCGAACTCAACACCAGTTGGGCCACCACCGACGACGACCATGTGGAGAAGACGCTTGACCTCCTCTGGGCTTTGGTCCTTGAACATGGCAGTCTCACAGCAGTCCATAATACGCTTGCGGATACGCTGAGCATCAGCGACCTCCTTCAAGAAGGAAGAGTGCTCGCGAACACCTGGGATACCTGAAAAGACATGTAAGCTTCCAAGCCCGACCTTGTCATGTGTTTGTACCCACCGAAAGTAGCGTTCTCAGCGCCGACACCGACGACAAGCATGTCGAATGGGACCTCAGTGGTAGAGATAGCACCCTTGATCTCAGACTCATCATTGATGTAGACAACGCGCTTCTCGTAATCGATCTTGGTGGCCTCAGCCTCGTAGAACTTGACAGCGGCCTTCTTGTGACGGAGGAAGTGGCGGATAGGCTCCATGATAGAACGGTGTTCGATGGTACCAACAGTGCAGGACGGGAGAAGAGGAGTGAACAGGAAGTAGTTGCGAGGCGAGATGACGATGACATTGTAGTTCTCAGTGTCGAGCTTCTTCAAGAGAGAGACGGAACCCCAGCCAGTACCTATGCCAGAAAGTCAGCAGCTGAATTCGGAATTCGATTCAGCATTTGTGATTTTTCCACATACCGAGAACTACGAGGGTCTTCTTCTTTGGGTCAGGCTCCTGTTGCTCTGGAGGTGTCCTGGACTCGTAGACACCGTATGTGAACCATCCGAGACCGGCGATGGCGGAGAGATAAGTGATTCTCCAGGTCCATCTGAGGAAACCAGCACCCTTCTTCTTGATCTGCTTCTTGGTCTCCGGGTTGATGTTGTCGGCGTACGACCTGCGGAAAGCCTGGCGCAAGGATGGCTGGTTCAGCGCGCACCTGGCGGTTGGCCTGGCGCGTGTGATGTGTTGAGTAGTCGCAAAGGTGCGACGGGCAACCTGCTGGGCAGCCATTGCGGCGGAGACGGAGGCAACGATGGGCCTCATGGCAGCCTTGGAGGGCATTGGCGCCTCTGATCTCGCGGTGGAGGGGGTTTGTGAGGAGCGGTGGGAGTAATGACACACACAGGGAATCGAGGCAGGTGCTCACGTTGGCCGCAAAAGATAATGTTGCGAGCTCGGACCTCCTGCGAACACCGGGCCCAGCGCTCAGGACGGGAGGCCAGGGTCAACCGCAGCTCTCCCGTTTTCCGGTCGGAGCTGTTCCACGTTGAGCAGCCACACCAGATCGTCGCCCCCTTGAGCTTTTTTTCGCTTTTACGATACATATCCACCAAACGACGGGTCCGTCACAACTCTACTTCTCGATGTCGCGTGCTATTCGCGCCGAGCTTTTTGTCATATAACAAGCTCATCTAGACCTCACGACCACGCGTGTAACGCATACGGGTGCTCAACATCTCTAAATTCGGCCTCATACTTGGCAAGATCTCATCCTGCACGTGTGCCTCAGCCCTCCAATTCCCCATCCTCCGCCTTTGTGTCTATCTCTGACGTCCTCTGGTCCGAGGCGGTCCTACTCTCTCCGACTCGCGAGTCCTATTCAAGACCGGGCATATGGCATGTCCGAACGATTTCCGTTCCAGCGTGAATTTACCCCTCTAATGTGTCGCCCATTGATCATGGCAGCAGCGCCAGCAAGCCGAGAAGCAAGCTGAGATAAGGTAGCATCATAGCAGTACGTGTGCTCGAAGGTCGATCGATGTTTGCTCTTCCGCGTCCTCCGAAGTACTGTATGGTAGATACAATTCCACGTCTGCACAGAGCTAGATGCGATTCATCTGATGGAGACAGCCTTGACCCTTAAACACGTACTCCGTTGCTTTTCCTGTTTCGAATCTACCATATACCTGTATATACCTAGCAATAATTACCATAAACCTGCTCCTTGTTCTGGAGTTACCTCTTTACACACTCGTATATTCTGTCGCTCTGGTTCTCAAATCCTGCCTTGCCATCTTTCATGACGTCCATCAAGTACAGGAGGCCGGAAACGGCCAATAATCGCGTGTACCAGTAATAATAGCACCGATTCCGGTCCAACAACGGCGTGCGAGTCAGTGTTGTCCGCCAAAGCCGCAGCCAGTCCGGAGCACTGGTCCGAGGCGCGGAGTTGACTGGCTCACTGCTGCTCGTGCTGTAAAGGGATATATTGATCATTTTCCGCAATCTCAACAAGTCTCGGGCGCTAAGCGTTCATAGGCGTGGTAGCAAAGTGGTTAATGCGATTGACTCGAATCCTTAATTCGCTATCAATTTCCTTCGGGAGCGCAAGTTCGAATCTTGTCCACGTCGAGACTCTTCTTCTTTTGTTTTTGTTTGGGATGCGCCCTCCAAGCTTTTTGCTGCTCTACGGTACACACATACTACAACCGCTTGCTCTTTTTTATAAGTGTAGGAACGGATCCATTAAAGCTTTTGAGAAAACGAAAGTCCTTTCGCGTTCCTTGAGATCTCACGAGCTATGCCGCCTCAGCCTCCAGATAACTATGCACGCTCCCACATGTCACACGCTACCTGATCTAAGCTGCTTATTGCAAAGCTCATCCATCAGGTGCCAGACAGACGTTAACAATATGGTAGCATCTACCCACTTTCATCTGACTGTGTGGAAGATCTGTATCGCACCGGCTTCGATACAAAGCCTTTGCCAGCAGGACAAGACAAGCGCATAGCGACACATTGCTCGACTGTGGAAGTGATTGTTACACGTATAATGTCAAGTACTGCGGCCATGCTATATATGTAGTATCGGCCAGCTGCCATATGGAATATTCATGAGGTATCTCCACGGTCTCCTTCCAATGCACATGCACATCCTTTTTCCATGCTCCTATAGCCACCAAGAACGCCAGTAACGCCATGCTTCGAGCCTAAAGATAGCAACCTGCCTCTCTAATGTCCGTCCTACTCCTCCATCTTCGCAGGCTCGACAACGGTAACATCCTCGCTGCTTGAGCTCCAGTATGCCTTCACCTGGACCTTGAACTCCGCCATGGCCACGCCGAAAAGCTTCAACAGAGCAGTCTGGTGGCTGTTCAGGGTCTGGCCCTCCTTCGCGATGGTGTAGTCGACATCCAACATAACCTTGCCCTTGTCCAGCCTGGTTGGCATTCCCCACTTCCTCACGGTGACCTCCAGACTGTGCGGCATGGGCACATCATCCTCGATCGGCTGCTGTCCACCAGTGGAGTAGACAACACCAGCTGGCACAGTGAAAGTCTGCGTAGCCTTGATGCCCGCCCTCGCAAAGTCCATCTCGCTGTATGTCTCGAAGTAGCTCAGCACCTCCTGCGGCTCCCTGTTCGTGAACAGCAAGCCCACAACACCCTCCAACTGTTCGCTCAGCTTAGCCAATCCTGGCAGGTGCTCCTCTTCCCTGGTGGTGCCCAGCGCCTTCGCCATCACCTTGGTCTTTCCGAAGAAAATGCGCGAGTCGGCGAATTCGGTGCGGATGTCTTTGAGGTACGTGTTGCGCATGTTGTCGACGCTGAGGACGAATATGTGCGAGTTGTTGTCGGCGGCCTGGCGGATGTTCTCGAACAGCTCTTGTCTGTTTTCCTTGCCCTTCTTCTCGACCTTGGTCAAGTGGACGACCTTCGCGCGCTTGGACTTTGGCATTGTGGCGGAGAATGTGTGGTGTAGGGTTTATGAAGAATCCGTCCTTCGTACAATAATGAGAAGAGAAAAGTGTGCAAGTATTCGAGAGACAGAAAATAGTAGTAAAAGTCTACCAATCTCTCTTCCGCAAAATAATAGCGGAAGAAATTCTGGGCTCCGCGTATAAACTTCTAGCCACAGCGGAACGGTCCGCAACGTGCATGCATGTGGGTTCCGGCGGAACATGGAGCTTGGCACCGAAGTGCGAGATGTAGGTGCTTCGATCCGTCTTCCCCAGTTCAAGGGTTCGAAGGTTGCAACATAGCGAGCATGTATTCGATCTAATGGAGCAGCTATGAAGCATTTCTGCAGCAATGATCGAGTTCATGGACTATGTCCAACACGCCTTCTCAGCGGCTTCCTACTGGGATCATGACAACTCCTATAGCACCCTAACAGCTACCGCCCAAGGTACCTTCTATCGCAATGCCCGTTTCCGGCCAGTCCCTCACGGTTCACAGCTCTACTCGACTTTCAGACACCTCATGGTCTTCGGATGCACATATCCTCGCTATCTGCGCCAAACTTTGCGACTTCATATACCCTCGGGAACAGAGGAGTGGTTGATGGCTCCGTTTCGTACCTATACTCTTCGCTAGCCTTGAGCATACCTTCAAAGAGCAGTCAAATCGATCTACACCATCTGATTCGGGGATATCGGCATTTGGCGGAGCTGCGCAAGCAAGATGAACCCTGGCATTGGGAGATTTGGCAAAGGGGAAAGAGAGTAGACAAGCGCGGTATGTATGCAGCAGTCTGGTGCTGTCTGGCTACGGAACTATGATATCCGGAACGCATACGCTGACTCGCTTCCTAGATGCTCTGCTCTACGGTCGCATTTACCTCCCGACATCTGCTCTGGAAGCACTCTATCTCCGACGGGTCAGTCCGTCACGGCTCCTACGCTTGTCTGCAGTCTCCGACTCTACCCTGCCCAACGGAGGTACAATCCTAGCGGTCCTGCAGAATGATCACGGTAAATATAGCACGGAGTACCTCTACAGTACCGACAGCGCACTCTTCGGAATAAGAGGTCTTTACAATTTTGGCCACGACCCGAGGAACGACCCAGCACCGTCAATCTCGAAGCAGCCTCCATCATCCGTCACAATATCGCCTCCAGGACCGGTGGATCCGCAGCATGGCCGACTCAGCGCTGGCGCAGAGGCTTACTTCTCCCCACTGAACAAGTCCGGTGGCATGTCGACTGGCGTCCGTTTCACCACTTTGCCTGCACATACTGGGTTCCCTTATACGATGACTTTGACGCTGAACCCCTTGATGGGCAATGTATCTTCGAGCTATGCAGTCAAGGCCGGGCAGAATCTGGCGCTTTGCTCGCGCTTCAACTTCAACTTCTACAGCTATGAATCGGATGTTCAGCTAGGGATGGAGTTGTGGCGCCCGCCAGCGGTGAAGGTAGAAACGCCGTCACCAACGCCAGCTGATGAGAATGTAGAGCAGCTTGTAGCGGAAGGGATCAAAGGTGCGGATGATATCAATGGCGTACTGAAGGTCAAGGGCGATCAGAATTGGAAGATTGGAATCCTGTGGGAGGGCAGGATCAAGGAATTGTTGGTGAGTATCGGTGCTGGATTGGATCTGAAGAGGAGAGATCGCATTATTGGGAGTGTCGGTCTTGAGGTATCGTATTCATCATAAGAATGCTACATGACCTATGATAACGAGGAGATATGAGAGTCAATCACCGGAACGCCTTGCCTGTCTATATGAGCCATACCGGGACTCCGCGTCCAGCTTCTAGTAGCATCCCAGGCTATTATTGTAGACGAGGAAATCGCAACTGAATGTTCCAGTCGTCTTAACTTCCCTGAGAGTCGCATTTCAGATCCTCTGAGTTGGCTTTAAATCTTCTGAGTCGGTGCCTCGTTAAAGTCGAACAGAGAATCCCTACACCCGCTGTCAGCTTCTTGCAAATCCCAATCACAAGCGCAGTTCAACAGACTCACTCGTCCAACAGACCCAGCTCAGCAGAATCAGCCCCGTCATCATCCATCTGCTCCTCCATCTCCCCAACCCGATTCCCATTCTCGTTCCCATTCCCACCAACACCCGTACCGGTCGCCGTACCCTTTCCACCCTCCCGTCTCCGTTCCCCATCCATCTCCGCCAACCTCTCCTCAACCCCTCTCACCCTCCCCTCTAACCTCTCCAGCACATCAAGCACCATAGTAACCTGATCCTCAATCCTGCCCAACGACCCTCCAACCTCACTCTCCTGCCGTGCGGGGGTACAGCTCATCGGCGTCCCCATCCGACTGGACATCTGGCTCCCTGGCGGAGGCGAGCCGAATTGGACTTCTGCTCCTCCGCTCGCTTGACCTTGCAGAGGGATGAAGGGCCTGAATAGTGAGGGTGCGCTTGTTGGGCCGGGCCCGTACCCAGGGATAGGGACAGCTTGGCCTCTTGCTCCTGCTCCTGCTCCGAAATTGAAAGGCACTGGGCCCAGAGGCGTCGTCTGCGCCCTCCTGAACTCATAGCCAGCCCCTCGCGGCTGACCATGACCATGACCATGACCATGACCCTGAGCATGAGCATAAAGGTGCGCATTAGTCGGATACGGCTCATGCCTCAAGTTTCTAGCTCCGCTCTTTGCCTGCGCCGCGCTCCTCCCACTGCGCCCACCGGCCCTTCGCGATGGAGACGGCCCGGCAGAGGCCGCGACGCCAATCTCACGCCCTGTTGTGCGCACGAAGGTCGGGATGGGGTGGTCCTCGACGTCGGCGAAGAGGTCGTGGTCGTGGTGAGTGGCTTCTGGTGGCATGGAGTGGGAGCGCCTGTTCGGGTGGGGTTGGGCGCGGTGGCGTGGGAGCTGGGGCGGTGGGGTGGCCGCGTGGTAGTAGGGTGTTGGGTTTTGGGGCCCGTGAGGGTGCGGTGGAGGGTAGTTGAAGTCGTCGTTTCGAAGAGCAGGGGTGGAAGTGGGTGGGGTGGTGGCGGCGTAGGTGGATGGGGATGGGGATGGGGTTGCGTGAGTGCTGAGGACGGCGGGGTCGATGGGCATGGTGGGTGTGTCGCAGGCGTCGTTGAAGGCGCGGAGGGCGTAGAAGTCGGTGTCGTGGTCTGGGCTCGAGCTTGTTGCCATTGTGGGCGTGGTTCGTTGTGGTTATGAGAAGCTTGAGATATGTGGTAGAGATTGATTGATTGGTTGAAGTGTTGTGGATGGAAGATGGGAGATCAGAGTGGGAGCGAGCTATTTGAGTACGCAACTTGCTCGTTTGTGCCTGGTTCAGGAGCGCGCCAAGAAACCTGCCTGAGCGCCTCATAGCCACTTCGTCCCCGAGACATGCAGGAATGTCGTCGGATGGCTGCAGATTTCCCGTGTGTGGATGTGATCCAGGAGCCTCCATCGTGACAGCAAGTCCATGTGTTGGAATGAGACGTGGTTCAGCTGTGGCATCTATTCTTATTTTTATTCTCATGTCGCGCTCGGTTTGTAAGATGTGTTCCTGTTCTTTGTGTGTGGATGGAATTTGAGAAGCAAGTTGGAAATGGAGGTGGTGTTTGTAGGTGAGACAGCCATCAGACGCACGGAAAGTGGTGCACGGCACCGAATGAGAAATGGAAAGTGAATGATGAAAAGACATAACGCATCGTAAATGACTATGAGATATCCT